CTACTGTGCTGCTGCTGGCAGCAGCTCTGCCTTCAGAGCTGGGCTCCCGGCCAGCAGCCGCCGCTCTCCAGCTGCCCAGCTCTGAAGGCAGCGCCGCCTCCAGCAGCAGCGCAGACGTAAAGGTAGCAGTTACCGCAGCCCCCCAAGAATAACCTGGCGGACCTCCCCCCACAGCTCCTTTATGGGTCAGGACCCCTACAATTATAACACTGTGAAATTTCAGATTTAAATAGCTGAAATCATGAAACTTATGATTTTTTAAATCCTCTGTCCGTGAAATTGACCAAAATGGACTGTGAATTTGGTAGGGCCCCATTTATAATGAAATTAAGTATAAGTTTGTTTAACAAAGCACAGAGACTCAAGTAGTAGCAGGGGAAATAAATGGTTACATATAAAACAAAATCATAACACTCATCCTAAAACGTAGACTTAATTACTAAGATATTCTCGTGTCTTAGAGCAAATACTCACCCCAAATCCTTGCAGTGCTTTACAACCAGGCTTGTCTGTAATCCTCCTTTCATGAGACAGACAACTTGTCTCCTAGGTCAAGGATGACTGAGTGAGTTTCCTTGCCCCCCTGGATGTACCACTCCCATCCTTTTTCTACATCCATAAACAGGACACTCCGCCTGCTGTATTTGTTTCTGCCTGTAGATTTTCTCTTTTGTAGATTTTGTAGCTTTTTGACTGGCACCTGGCTCAGTATGCACATAGGCCTCCAGTGTAAGGCAGACAATACACAAATGATCAGACAGGGATATAAGTGTCTGCTACCTCCTGCCTGAAAGGAATATGTCCAAGGTATGTCTCCTCTTGGTGACCTCCCTTACTCTAAGACCTTAAGAACATAATTTTCAGTGTAGATACGTAACTCCTTAAATATTATCCCTACATACATTTTGCAATAGTTATGGCAACCAGTGGGCTACCGGCTCTCGGTAGAGACCTTTCATGTCACCTTCTGGTGAGCTATCATGCAGATATCTGACCCAGGAGATCCCTGTAAAACCTATCCAACCCCCTGTGCTTTCCACTATTTGACACCAAGGGTTCCCTGGGTCACAACTAGGTGTAATCAAATCTGTTTAATATTAGAGAATGGACGCGCAGGATAACGTGTTTTTGTTAGGCCTCCTGCATTATCACATTTCAATATCCTCAGCATAAAATCATCCTATTGCTAGTGCCCAGAAAATGTAAACAGTTTGGTATGAGAGCAAAGATCATAGGAGGTTGGCAGATAACAGTTCTTTGGGGGGAGGGGAGCAGTCATTGTTTTATATTTAGTAGCTAAGCATAATAATAACTGTATTACCATGAGATATTATCGGCCAGAGTACAATATAACCATAGTTATACTGTACCATATCTTTTTAATTTTAGTTTTAGTTAAATATTTGTTTATGGAGGGTTCAGATTAACAGTTATGGAGACAGGCCTCTGATTACCTGCAGAGCTGGGAAGCGGCAGTACAGGCAGCCCCACCAACGTTGTCTTAACCCTTTTCTGGAGAGACCCCCTCTACTGATGAGAGGGTAGTTCAGTTTTCTTACCCATTTCATCCTTGATGCCTTTGTTGAGATTGCCAACAAAAGGCATGACCCAAAGCTTACTGAAGTCGGTTGAAAGACATTGATTAACTTCAGTGGATCAGGCCCAAAATAATCCACTTTTGCAAACTGATTGGAAATTACATCCACTGTGATCTGGACTGAGACCACCAACTCATTTCCCATAAGCCACCAAATGGCCAATTGGGGGGGGGGGTCATCCTGTTCAGCTAGTACTGACTTGGGCTGGGATTGTACTGGTGACCTAAGGAAGGCAGGGTAGCCCATCATTAGTCCTCTGTTAACCATCCAACCCCCCAGGGCTCTTCTAGTGGTCTGGAGACATAAAGATGAAAGCAGACTAAAATATTTTTCAGACAGTAACTATTTATTAAATCAAAAGAGCTCTTGATAGTGTACATCAGTCTTGAATGACCTAAATGATCTGCAGGCCCTGGATTTTTTATGCCAAAAATATTTTACAAGAAACTTTTCATGATGCAAAGGGAGTGCTGCATTTTCACTGTTGTTACTGTGTTACGCTGATGGAGACTGAGCATGATATTGGAGCTATGAATTAGATTTCACAAAGCAGCTCTTCTGTAGGGAGCTGGCTGCTTATTCATTATTGAGATCAGTAGGCTATAATTAGCACTCTCTTGGAGGGTATTTATCTTCCATTTTGATGCAATCCCCCAGGCAACAAATTTAGAGTACAAAATTCATTGGCCTGTAGCATCAGGGTGTAATCTCAAGGGACAGTTAGTATCTAAGGATGACTAGGTTTCATAGATATGTTTGCAATACCTTCTTTCTAATTGCATCATTTTCAATGTAACTAGTATCAGCTGTGACTTTACAGGCAAAAGACTGTGTCTCTGAACAGCACATTCAGAGCTAAAATATCCTTTTCAGTTCCTTTGAAATTACAATAAGGAATACTCAGGAAGGCCCCCCAGGTTAACCGGAGGTTTTACGTTCAATTCCTTTAACATTTTAAACACTGTTAACTATGGTAACCTATGCACTTCTGCAGGTGGCTGTACTGGGGGATGGACTGTATTGGTACTGTAGTCTGTGACTCTGGTAGTAAAATCTTGCAGTGCATTGGAATTTTCTGAGGTGAGCAATACATGCCTGGATTTTGCGGGAAGCACTGGGGAGCTTGGACAAAATTCAGGAGCTAGCCACAAGAATTGTTTTGGGACCATGGGACTGGAAGAAATCCCATGAAAGAGATTTGAGGAAGGCCAGATGAATGGAACTGGGTCGGGGAAGAGGGATTATGGGAAACTATTTGTAATGGGAAGGAGATTGTGAATGAGGAGAGGCCAAATAGCTCAGTGAGATAAGGCGTTGCAGGTTGGGATTGTATTGGCAGGAGTGGAGAGGAGACATGGGCAATTTGGTGAAATTGATTAAAAACTGGCTAACTGCTAGATCTCTAAAAAAAAAAAAAAAAAAAAAAAGGTAACTGTAAATGGGGGATCACCATCCACTGGGAGCATTTCTAGTAGGATCCCACAGGGATCTTTTAATGGCCCTCTGTTATTCATATCTCTATCAGTGGTCTGGGAAGGAACTATAAAATCATTGCTGGCAAAATTTGCAGATGACAAAAATTGGTGGAATGGTAACTAACGATAAGGACAGGTCAGTTCTATAGAGCAAGTTTGATTCCATGGTAAGCCAGGCTTATTTGAAGTACATGTATTTTAATACAACTGTATACATGAAAGTTAGGTCATGCAGAATGTAGATCAGACTCATAGAATAGGGGACTATATTTTGGTAAGCATCAACACATAAAAGACTTAGGGGTACTTGTAGAACACCAGCTGAATATGAGCTCACAGTCCAATGTGATCATTGCACATATAAGTAGGGGAAGAAGAAGCAGTATGGAGATTTTACTATCACTGTATAAAGCCTTAGTGAGACCATTACTGCAATACTGTGTCTACTCATCATGGCCACGCTTCAAAAAGGACTTTGACAAATTGGAAAGAGATCAAAAATGAGCAACAAGAATGATTTGAGCATGCCTCTTAGTGAGACAAAAGAAGCTCAGTGTATTTAACTTAAAAGAGGATGGTTAAGGGATGATCATGATCTATAAGTAACTCCATGGGGAGAAGATTTCTGATAGTAGATGGCTCTTTCATATAACAGACAAAGGCATAACAAGATCCAATGGCTGGAAGCTGAGGCGAGACAAATTTAGACTAAAAGTAAAGAACAAATTTTTAACTATGTGGTTAATTAACCATTGGAACAAGTTATCTAGGAATGTGGTGGATTCTTTCATCCCTTGAAGTCTTTAAGGTTGGATATTTTTCTCAAAGATATACAGTAGTTAAACCAGGAATTATGGGCTTGACGCAATTACGGGCCAAAATTCTATGGCCTGTGTTTATGCAGAAGGTGAGACTAGATGACCATAATGATCCGTTCTGGCCTTAGCAACTGTGACATAAACTCTGGCCAAAGTTTTCCAAAGTGACTGGTGATTTTGAGTGCTCAGCTTGACACCTTAGAGGAACCTGCTTTTCAGAAAGTGCTGAACACTCACCCTCTGTTCAGGAATCTCAAGTTAGGCACCCAGTACCACCAGTCAGTTTTGAAACTCTTGGCCTCTTAGAGTATGTGTACTAGTCTGTGACAGCAAGCTTCCCAGCCTGGGTTGACAGACTCGGGCTAGCAGGACTTGTGCTAGCCCTCTGAAACTAGTTTAATAGATTCATAGATATGAAGGTCAGAAGGGACCGTTATGATCATCTAGTCCGACCTCCTGCACAACGCAGGCCACAGAATCTCACCCACCCACTCCTGCAAAAAACCTCTTACCTATGTCTGAGCTAGTGAAGTTGCAGTTCGGGCTCTGAAGCCTAGGAAGGGGATGGAGGGGGCTTCAGAGCCAGAGCTCCAACCCAAGCCGCAATTTCAAAGCGCTGCCTGCACAGCTCTTTTTGGAGGGCTAATGTGCGATGGAGCTGGAACAATTTGTATGGTGGAGGCACAGAGAGCCATTGAACCAGACTGTAAACGTTGCATATGATGGAAACCACTTCAAGCCATGGGGTGTGGCAGAACCCCCAGCATTCCTAGTTCCAGCACCTATGCTAGTGTGAGCCCTGCTAGCCCACGTCTGTCAGTCCAGGCTGGGAGGCTTGGTTCCACAGGCTGTGTAGACATACCCTCAGTAGTATCACTATGTCTAGGTCTTTTATTTTCCTAAATCTCAGAGTCCTATAACAAAGTTTGTTTAGCACTTTTTTTTTTAATGAATCCTTCTGTTTTATATATGTTTTGTTCCCTAAATTAATTCAGTCTTTAACCATAAACCTTAACCCTTTTGTTGAAGCTTCCGGCTGCATTAACCTTGCCCATTTTTTGCCCAAAATATTGCCTAGTGATGTATGTATGCTTTTTGCTTTTTTCCAGGTGACGGGTTAACTGGAATTCCACCAGATGTTTTGAAGAACCCACCAACAGATCAGCAGATTAACAAACTTGCCAGGAGTCTGGGGCCTGAGTGGGAGCATATTGTACTGTCCCTGGGTTTGTCACTGAATGACATCTACAGATGTAAAGTCCATCACCCTCACAATGTGCAGTCACAGATTGTGGCTGCATTTGTCCTTTGGAGACAGCGTTTTGGAATCAAAGCAACAATCCAAAATCTGCACACCAGTCTGATGGCCGTAGAAGTGGATCCTTCTGTGATCCAGCATATGCTTGAGTGAAGTCTTGTTATTGATTGGTGGCTCTTGAGTTTTTTGCTAAATGAAATCAATTGGATTCATTGAATCACTTATCAGTGTTCTGATTTCTCTTAATTAGAAATCGAGGAAATGGCAGACAAGCAGCTTGGTAATTTTATTACTCTGTTCTTCCTTGTAGCTTTCAGTTTTCTGTGGGAGGTTTTGATGTCTCTTATAATTACATGTATGCCAGATGATTTTTTAACAGGCTTTAAGAAATTATCGTTCTTTTTGTTCACTTTTGGTAGGTAAACAGTTTGGGTCCAGAATTTTTAGATCAATTTATGGGCAGCCCCTCAAGAAGACTGACTCATCTCTAGAGCCAATGCGGAACATCCTCCTCCCCCAGGTTCTGCCCAAAATATTTCAGCACTCTCACTTAAGTCAGAGGTCTTCATAAAGTTTTTGGGGGTGAGAGGGTTTTTTTGTCCTGTACCCCCAATTCTCAAAACCATAAGGTAAATTAGGGAGGAGAGGGCCATCTGAACAGTCTGCTGGCTGCCCAGTTTGCCATGGTTTTCTGGACTCCTGGTACCTGACAGTATGGTTTGGCAGAATCAGCTCATTCAGGCCCAGAAACAATCTGCTGGTATTTTATTTTTAGTCTTCTATAATACAGTCCCGACCTTCAGCCATTCATGATCCTGTTACACCTCACTTATATCTTAATTAATTATATCCTATTATGGTGTATGAAAGCATAATTCTATCAACAAGTCTCAAATAAACAATGTAAATCAATTTGAGCTTTGGAATTTTTTTTATAGATATAGCTATAGATTAGATATATAATATTTTGCTGTTTCAAACTGCTTGTATACATGTATATGTTCTATTTGAGTGCTTAGCTTGACACCTTAGAGGAACCTGCTTTTCAGAAAGTGCTGAACACTCACCCTCTGTTCAGGAATCTCATATACATGTATATGTTCTATTTGAAAACAATCTGAGTGTGGCTTATGTATATGGAATTACGTGAGCATAAAGATCATGGGCTAATTCAGCCAAATGTAGCCTGGAGAGGGGAAGTGCAACTCCTGGAGGAATTTCTGGGCAAAATCTAGAAGTGATATAAACAGTGGTGTTAGCTACACGTTAGGTGTACGTGGCAAAAGAGGGTGACATACACCTGCTGCATCCACTCTGGTGCCCTAAGAGAATAAAACTTAGACAGGGAGCCGGAGAAGTTACTAAGAGCATGAAAGATTCTTTTTTTTTTTTTTTGCAAAGCCCCTCTCATGCTGTTACACACCCACACTATACATTGGTCTCAAAGGGAGTTGAATCTACCACACCAGGCAGAATTTGATTCTCAAGGAATACTAAACCAGTACAAGTGGAAAAATAATGTAACATACCCCACCACTTTATGCCACTGTTGATAGACTCTTGAGTCAGCTTCTTTGAATCAGGTAAACTTTGTGTTTTACATTCTGCACTGAAAGGTCACCGTGTAGGGTTAAACATAATGAACACATCCAGAGTTAAGTTCCAAAGTAAAGATTAAAACAAAAAATGTTTGCAAGCGATATAAACCCTCAGGGCTTCAGGGCTTTAGCCAACATCTAACTGATAGGGGTTAGGAAGAAACTTTCCCTGTGGACAGGTTATCCCATAACTATCTACTGCATTGTTTCTTGCACCATCCTTTGAAGCAGCTGGTGTCAACCACTACTGGGGAGGACACTGGACTACATGGTCTGATCCAGTATGGCATTTCCTATATAGTTTTTAAAATAAATCTCCTTACCTATTTTGCAGATAACATTTGAAGGTTACATCCTGCATTCCTAGAATTCCCAGTACTACCTTAGGAAAGGAAAACAGAAAATTTTTAAAAATCTTGTTCACTTGCCGCTATTTATGCTGTTTGGTTTTTGTCCTCAGGCTTGACAATTGAAAATGAATGTCAGGTTCTCTTTGGCTTATCATGACTTTCTAATCAGTTTTGTCTTCAACTTTCCCATGCCCTGACTTAATGCTACAATGATGGGGTGGCATATACTGCAGGGAAATTTTGTTGTTGTTTTAAAAAAAATGTCCATTGTCATTCTTTTTAAATTCATAGAAATGTCTCTATTGATTTAGGTCTTGTAAAAGCTTGTTTTTAAATAGCCTACATTTAGGACCACATTTGACTTGACAGTAGTATCCCTTTGAATGGAAAACTCCCTTTCATTAGTCTTTAAGAATCTTTCTTTCGTGGGCATTGTTTTATATTAAGACAATTGTACTCTTAAAATTTAGAGCAAGGTTATCTCATTGCTCTCTTTGACAGTTAAGAGGTCTTTAAAATGTATTTTATTCTTTTCTATCAAGTACAAAACCTTTTCAATCTACTACAAAACCTATCTAAACAATATGCGATACAGTGCTAGTAACCGTTGCTAAAGTATTTAATGCTTTGGTTGTTAACTAGATATATGAGTAGGGTCACATTTCATAAAACATGGACACATAACAAGTGTTACACAAGACCATTGTACACCCCTTCCTCTGCTATCTGAAGGATATTAAGTCTGGTATAATGCGTCTTACTGCAAAGATTCATCACTTGAATATATCCACTGAGTCAGACACTAAAGTTATAATGATAATTAAACCAGGCTGATTTTGTTGGTAGTTTGTTTTTAAGGCCTTCACAGAAAACTTATCAACAATATTTTCTCTGATGCTCTTACTGCTCTGTGTGTAAGGAGTGTGCGATTTTAAAAAGCAGTAGCATAAAATTCGGGCTTTAGGGCTATATTTAAGTTCCTAAATTAGTGGCCTAATATTTAAAAGTACTGAGCACCCAGCAGCTCCCACTGAAGTCAATGGGAGTTGCTTGGTGTACAATACATTTAGAAATCATATCACTTGTTTAGAAGCCTAACTTTTAACCACTTGTTTTTTTGAAAATCGATATTACAAAGTCAGATCAGTCAGTAGCTGTTGCAATCTCTGTAGCAGACTGGCGTATTTATAAAGTTTGTGTGCTTTTCCAGAAGTGACCATCACAGGAAATGACTGAAAAGCACATTACTAATTGGTCCTGTAAAATTCAGTATGGAAATTTGTTTTTCTTAATTAAAATATTGACTGATGCTGGATGTACGCTACATTAATTTACTTGTATTTAGCATTTGCCTTTCCAGACCAATGTTCTATACCTATTTGGTACAAAATCTCCTGCTATGCTACATCTGGCTTCAAAAGAAAATTTGGAAACAAACTGCCTTTCTAATATAGAAAGGTTGTGTTGTTATTGTTATGAATTATTGTAACACCTAATAGCACCACTCCGGGATCCCACTGTGGTAGGCCCAGATCATGCCATCTGCAAAGGGTTGGATTCTCTTTGGAGAATTATTTGTGGGTAAAAGTTGGTGTTTATAAACAAGTCAGTGACTGGCAGTGTTGTCTAGATTAATGAGGTAACAGATATGCAATTTCCCCCATCTCTCTACCAGCCACACCTCAAGCCTTACTTCGCTGCAGGGTGACATTACTGCTGTTCTAACACCTCTCCCTGAATGAAGGAATGGCTATTGTGCCAAACCATATGAACATTTTATTTTGGCAAATCTCTTAAAATGAGTGAGCTGAGACCACCAAAATGATGGTCATTTATGATTCTACATTAAGTCAAGTTAAACCCAATTTTCCTTTATTGCATTAATCTATGCCACCAGCTAGCCCCCTCAGCTGGTTTTTAGCAGGTTTAAATCCTTGTTCTTGAATGGGTCTGTGGGTCTGTCTTCTCTGCAGAATGAGCCTGGATGGTTGGCACTCAGGTCTGAGCACCTGACTTAGCCTAACCTGGGTGCCAGCAGCCACACTACAAAGACCTACTCAGGTTATGATGTCCTCACTGGTACTGCACTCACCCATGTGTATCACTAAGTCTTCTGGAGACGTTTCCCATGGTTCTTTGTGATGCACTAAACCAAGCCTCTCCATGATGCTTTCCCAGTGAGTTGTGGGAGAACTTGTCTATCCTTCTGAGCACAGGGGGGATTTCTGGGAAGGCACTGGAGGACTATCAGCAATCAAGTGATTTTAGCCTGTGTCCTCGCTGCAAAGGGGACAGGTTAGCTGCTCCGAGAAAGTGGAACCTGAGCTCTAAACCATACCTCCAACCCAGGCCACGTGGCCTGGGTTGAAAGCACCACTTAACTCAGGTGAGAGATTTTTGTGGTAGGGTAACACCTGGATAAGAGCGCAGGCTAACTTGCAGTGAAGATATACCCTCTGAGTTCTGAGCATGGGTTTGCACTGAGCCAGTACTTAGTAGTATGCCATGCTAGCATCTCCCTGATGTAGCATCTCCAGCAGTTTCTGCAGAATCTGAACTTTCAAGGTATTTTTTAAATTGTTTCTGCCCTGACAGTGGAAGAGAGAGCCCTCCAGATATTACCAGTATACTGCAATCTGAAAGAATGGCTCTCAGAGTGCAGTATCAGTTTAAATAACCTGAATTATTTCACTGTTAACCGCTTTTTAGTAGAAACATCCTGCGGGGCAGATAGACAGCGTTTGGGCTCATGGACATAACTTAAGCACAGAGCAACAACTGTTTTCTCTTAGTCTGGCTCCCTTAATATGATTAGAGAAATCCTTTCCAGTTAAATCCCTATCAGCCACCCTACCTTTTGTATTATGATTTATTATTGCTTTGCACTAGCATTGCATTGCACTAGTTATTTGCATTGCACTAGCACTTCCGGAGCTCCAGTCATGGGCCAGGACCCCCATTGTGCCAGGCGCTGCACAAACTTATAACAAAAAGATGGTCCTTGCTGGCATTACCACAGAGATGAATCCATTTTTGTTCTAGTCCTTGAAAATGGTGGTGATTGTTTCTCTGCCTTGTCTACAGAGGGATCTTCCTTAGGCAGTAACCAGGTTTCAGAAAAGTTATTTTGTTCTCTGCTGAGTGGAGGCAGTCAGATTTCTGGCAGATTATAAATGGGTACCAACAAAATTAATTCCCACCTTAATTAAAAAGATCTTGAATGCCATGAAAAATAATCTGCCCAGGTCAGAATGATACCTATGAGACTTCAGACTATTTTGAACAACATTTGGAGATGTACATTAAAATAGAAATCCTCAGTTTTTGAGCTGCCTGCCCCTAGATAAACCAGGGGAATTTTCCATCCTGAGTCATTTGTTATGACAACCCATTGATCCATGGGATGAAACATTTTGCAAAAGGCTAGAAAAATAAACAAACATCTTTTTCCAAAGAATATAAAAAGAAATACGAATGAGATTCTGAATACAGATGAGTTGCCAATATTGTTATCTAATGGAAACAAAAACAATATTTGAATGTTAATCTATTTATAAGTTTCCATATTTTCAATAAGAGGAGAATATTCTTAATACATTGCATAAAACAGCACTCAAAAGGCAGTTCCTCGAAGATCATCATTTAGCATGAATGTTCAAACACACTGTCCAGATTTCACTACATGGAAAATTCTTGCTCTTCCAAGATGTCTTTCTGCCAGTTGGTAAAAGTCATAGAAAATATATCTGGCTGTTGAGTCTTTTTAACCTGAATTAATCTCTAGCAGAGTTCCTGTGAAACAGGAATATTTGCAGAATGTTGCAAAATGGCTTCCTGGACAAGGAGAGATTTACATGGTATAGCTAGAACTCCATGTAAACCTGGCAGTGGAGTTAGAGACAAAATTCTTCATAAATTCCTCTTCAAAGCTCTGCCTCTTGCGAAAATTTGAAAGATCACAATA